GCGTTGGCACCTTCGTCGCGGTCGACAGCCTGAACCTGGAGGATCTCGATGCCTGTTTCACCCTCCTTCACGTTCTTCTCATAGGTACTGCGTTCAAATGTGGGCGCATTGTCGTTGGCGTCAGTCACGAGAATGCGAACCGACAGAGTGCCAGTGAGAGGCGTACTCAGACCGCCGTCGATCGCAAAGATCTGAAATTCATAACTGGATTCAGTCTCCCGGTCAAGAGGTCCGATCAGGAGGAGATCCAATCCAGTGATTTTGAGACTGTCTTGGCCAGACATGCCACCACCCAGACCGCCAGACGACTGCAGCTCACGCTTCGGTGTTTTCAGTTCAAAGGTTTTGTCCGGAAATGTTGCCTTGTCGGGCTCGTAACGCTGGACGTCAAAGGGTGGTGCGTCCAGATCTTTTGCCAGGGGAAGACGGAGAGTGTAGTGGCCGACACGTGCAGCCTCTGAGATATTAAGAACCAAGAGGGGAGGTTTCGCAGTTCCATACTTAAACTGTGGGAAGGCGTTGTGTGGAGGAGTCTGGGATGGCAGCTAAACAGAGAAAAAACGTAAAAAAGATAAGTTTAATTTTTTTTCTTAACCGATACAACCTCAGTCCGTTAGTAACCCCACACGCCATCCCTAAAGACCCGGATCGGCAGGCAAGGACTCTTGTAATACTTTAATGGTAATAGTAGAGGTTTTAGGAATGGGATAAGCACAACTAATATATGGTTGATATGGGCCACGCCAGCTGCGGAGTTTGTAGGAAGTCCTTTTGTGCACACAACGCCGGCTTCATCAACCTGATAGCGGTCGCTTCTGCTGTCGATAGCAGGCGCTGACCCAGGGACTTTGGATAATTTGGTGGGACCCTGTAGATCACTCGGAAAGCTTCTTTGTTGCTGAGTTTGCAACACTGATGACCGAACCACTAGGCCTATTTATACAGCCTATCCCCTAGCCCTAACATCAACCTTCAACTCCAAGTCAAACGCTAATCCTAACGGCGTGACGACGATCTACTGCAAGGGAAGGTGGATTCAACTTAAACCTAAACAAACACCACGTGGGGTCCCAGAACAAATACCACCGCCAATACAAACGAACACTCGAGTGCCAGGAAGTAATTGAGTAACACACTTCGACAACACATTATGGTCAAG